CATGAGAAACCCCCTTCTCTTTCTGAAAGGTAATCCTTGCATTTGATATAGCGCTTTTTTTGATGCCATGGGATCTTTAATATCCACCTGAACCTTGGTTTAACACCTTATCCAAATGATGGCAATGGAATGTCAGCAAAGTGGGGCTTGAACGTACAACCTTCTGACTCAGAGATCAGTGTTACCAACTGAAACAGGCTTAGACAATACCAAAAATTCCAAGAATTTTTTTTGATTTAATTGCTGATACGTCTTTTAATATGCTTTTTTTAAAAAAATTACAATCACTACATTTTATGATAAATCTTTTGAAGCACTTGGAGACTGAAGGCATTGTATCAAATGCAAGGATTATTATTATTATTAATGAATGGAGCATATGTTTGGATCAAAATGGGAAGAGAAACACATTCAGAAGTTGACAAGAAATGGTCAAACTGAAGGTGAAATTATACAGAGTGAAAAAATTACTGTGAAAATTAAAAGTTCAGGAAAACAACATCTCCTGAAATGACAGAACCATAATAAGATCAAATATTGTTCATAGCAGCCTAGGATTTTTCATTAGCAACAATTGTGCGGTTTCACATAAAAGTGTGAAGAGAAACCCATTTACACGTTCAGACACAGAAAGTTGAATGACATGCCAGTTGCCCAGAACAGTCACTGAAGTTCCATTTTAACATTTGCAAATGGAATTGTTTGAAGTTCAATGAATCATTCACTTTGACACTGTCGTTCGAAAATCCAAATTCTTGATTTTGAGCCAAATATCTTCCTTCTTATTTTAGATTTTTTTTGATCAAAAATTAAAAAAGAACCCATCTGCAATTTTCTCAAAAAAATATTAAATTGTATTCCAATACTAATTAAATTGTTTCTGTAATAAAATATCTTAAGTAGTTGTTCTATATTGGAGTTAGTGTCTCGGCTTTCAAACAGAACAGGCCAAGAGCAAACTGAACTGAGCCTTCATGACAAAGGCTTTGAAGTCAACACACTGGATTAATTCTGGCTGACATTTGGAAGTTGGCTGAATGCCATGAAGACTCAAGGGGGTAAGAAAATTCTCACCACGTTCCAACCATACGAGACAGATGTCTGGGAGGTCACGTGTCTGCAAAAAAATATTTTTTTATATATATGTTGCTAACCAGCGTGCATCTTAATCGAAAAGAGGAGTTAATGAACTCCCAAACTGTGAACTGACCTCATGTATCTCCACTGCGATTTACTGCGGATAAGGGTCAATACAATTAGAATTAGAGGTACCAAGAACCACAGGAATAAAATAAACGTTGCAACAGCAGAATTAAACCATGCAAGGTTTAAAACTGTAACCCAGAAATTGTATTATTAGATTTAATCACAATTAAGACGTGGCCACTTTTTTTTAAACCCCAAACCTTGTTTCGACAATTAACTTAAGCATTCCCCTGGTGTAAGCTATTCTGATTTAAGCAGAATTTTAAATATTATACGAAAAAAACAGCTTCAGTGAAACACCCACATTATTTTTTTCTCCTTCGCCCATTGGGATTCAATAAAAATTTGCATTCATCAATCAATGAAGACGAGAACTGAGTTAATCTTTCAAAAAAAGCTTTTTTTTAAAAAAGACAGTAAATATTCAATGTAAATAGGATGCAATGAAAAACATTTCTTTTTTTAATGCTTCAATTAAGGGCTCTTAACGGCATTTCCCTTGGAAATGAATAAAGTATATTCATTTCCGCAAACTCAAACTACCATAGCTAGATTGTGTGGGGACCATTCAGCTCTTTGTCGCTTTATCTTTTGTCTGCAAAATTTAGAGACAATTTGCTTTCCAGCTTTGTTTTGCGATAGGAAAAAAATCTTGGGAGTTACTAAATCCAAAACACACTGTTAATTAATGTCGCTTACGATGAAAAAAAATCACAGACAATACTTTTTCTGGGGAAATATAATAGTCAGTCATCAAACATATTGAATTTAAAGGTCACATCATGTCAATCATTATAACTCCAAATGAACGCTCTTTATAGAGAAAAATGCAGCTGCCTCCCTTGCGTCTCCATCAATACTCATAAAACATAACTTACTAGCCAGACCGATTGATAAATCCCTCACACAAAAATCAATGAACAATGATCCTGCCGACCATCTTTGATAAAGCTAACAGAATCAACTAATTTCCTTTAATCTGGCAAGCTTCATTTGAGCTGCCCTCCTGTCAGTGCTCTGCTAGTTGTAGCTGACATATCCATATAAATACCTAATGCAGGGGGCTGAACTTAATCTTCACTGGCACAAGATGCTCAGCCAGAAGTATAAAACTCAAATTAACAACAACTTGCATTTATACATCGCCATTCACGCAGGATAGCGTCTTGGAACGCTGCAGAGCAGCGGAGTTGGCAGAGGTAATTGTAGGCACAGCCAAAGAGGTAAATCTTAAAGTGGGATTGAAAGATAAAAGAGGCAGAAGGATTGAAATTAAAAGGACAGTAGGGTTGGTAAGCGCTCTGGGACGCTACCCTGAGTGAGGGGAGCTATATAAATGCAAGTTGGTGGTGGTGGTGGTTTTTCACTATTATTTGGCACTGCCATGTTAAGACTGTGGCAATGCTTTGGCACACAGAACAGAGTTGTTAACTACAGGGTCTGCTGTTCCCACCCAAAAAAAACAGGAAATTGAGGAGCTGCTGCTGACAACAAGAAACAACACAAAAATGAAATGCACATTGGATCAACTTTTTTATAAATGTAACCATAAGGCTTTACAAATATGATGGCATTGACAAACCATTGCAAGCCAGTGCATCACTGAGGTACGCTATTTTATTTCCCCATGTCAGTGACTCGTGAAATGGATGCGATGGGTCTAAGGTGGCACAGCTGGATAAAACACCAGTCTCAATGGAAGCCAATGAATGTCAGTCCTCACAACCAATTAATAGGTCACAGCGGAGGTTTTGCAGCTACCATTACAAGTAAGGAGTCCACAGCACAGGGCTGCCACCAATTGACACAACACTGTGTAGATTTAGTTCAAAGAGGCAACAGTTTAATTGCAGTGCTGCAGCAGCACAAGCACATAGGAGTCTGTAGTTCAAAGGATAGTTTAGCAACATGCAGTAACTCAAAAAAACATCTTTACCCTAAAGTGTGCGTACACAGTGGTAAGCCTATTTATACAAGCAATCAAAAGTGTAGTGTGAATTGGAGCCAAGCTTTGGAGAGTGAGGGCAAACAGTCTGACCATTGATTTACACCACCGGAGCGTAAATGCAGGTAATGTGAATCGATTTTCCTCCCCTCACCAGAAAATGGTGCCTTAAATATTTTTGGTCAGTCAAGCACCTATTGCGGATTTTTTTTATTTTTATTGTTATCAATGCACCACCGTGTGACCATCTCTTTAATATTAAAAAGAAAACTTGGAAAACTGGAGCTTCTTGCCCGATGCTTCATTAACACATGGTGCATAACACTTTCCTAAAGCCTGGCCAGGAAGGCAAGTGACTTCCCTGCAGTAAGTGGGGCTTCACTGTAGGACGAGACACACAACAAATAGTGGAATCTGCTTCAGCCGGATGTATTGGGGCAGGGAGTTTTGTCCAATTTACCCAGCGTCCGGAGTTAACCAGCATAGAATCATAGAATTATATAGCACAGAAGGAGGCCATTCGGCCTATCGTGTCTGTGCCAGCACTTTGAAGGGAGCTATCCAATTCAATCCCACTCCCCCCGCCCCCCCACTCTCCCCATAGCCCTGCAAACTTGTTCTCCCCAAATAATTATGTACTTCTCTCTTAAAAGTAGTTATCAAATCACCTTCCACCACCCTTTCAGGCATCTACCATCCAGCTAAAGCGTTTCGCCCACAAGTGTGCGGTCAATTGACTTTACAGTATATTCTGTGAAGCGTTTTGAGACGTCTAGAGGACGTGAAAAATGCTATATTAATTGCAAGGATTATTATTATATCAAGCAGGTTTCACTGTAATGGGGAACATATTTCAAACACAATGTTCCTCCAACTGAAAGCAACGCACTCCATGCTTTTAAAATGAGAGGTTATTCTATTCAAGCGTCAATCTGAAATTTTCCAGGTATGGAATGAAATGCGCACTCTTCCCCAAAGGGATGTATCCCGTTTGTCTAATTCTGGAAAATATTAGATGCAGGTTGACAAGAGCGCAGTAGTAACACCATGAAGAGCAGTGCTGCTTGTAGTTTCTTGTTCTCTTTCATGACCTCAACATTAGAAGCAGCTCTGGACACAATGTCTAGACTGCCTCTAACCAACCATTGCTTCTAAGGCATAAAACATGGGAACAGGGCTGATGGTGAAATAAGTGGATTATTACCTGCATTAGAACACTAAGGTCTGGATTTGAATATACTTCCCGTTAAAGTAGAAAACAAATTCTGAAACATGGTGTTTAAAAGAAAAATCGAAGTTTAAACATGTCAGACAATCTGTCCACAGTGTTTGTGGCTTGAGGCGGTATCTGAAATTCAATGGGTTTATTGTCTACTCTAGTTAGGTTCTTTATTCCTGCTGACTCCTTAACTGGTTCTTGAAGCACCTTATTTAAAAAAGGCAGAAATTAAGAATTGTTCCAATTCCTAGGAGACTGAATTTCTGCTTGACCTACCCTTGAGAATATCTTAGTATCTGCAATAAATATAAAACTGGGTTAAATGGTTGTGTCTTTGAAATTGGATTTTGTAATAATGCAGAGTGAATTCTGTGCTTCTCGATCAATGTTTGCTCAGTGTTTCACTCTTTGTATTTCACTCTTCATATTAAACTCTAGATATTACTTTTAACAGTCACAACATCGTCAATTTATACAATATAAATAGTAACAGTCACAACATTGCTCATGGGTTCCAAAAGGAAAAAGCTTCTTAGGAGGTAAATAGCTGCCTATACTGGGTTCTGTTTCATATTGTGAGTGTGCACTTCATTCATCTCACTCTCTATTGGGTCCAGTGCTAATCATTACCTCATTGCGTTTTGCAATCCTCCTGGCAACAATCAGCTGTATCATCCCCCTTTTATTTCCCTCTGTGGACATGGACCTCCGGAGCGTCTCCATGGCATCCTGGTTCGTCTTCCCCAGCAATGATTCACTGTTCACTGCTATAAGCTGGTCGTTCATATTTAGCCTACCGTCCTGAAATGGAGACAGGATAATACCTTTTTGTCAAACTAACGCTTAAATCACCGCCCGCTTTGTTCAGCATGAGATAATAAAACTCATACAGAACATTTATACATACCCAATGTTTACCTTGAGATAAACCTTTTTTNGCTTCTAAATTCTAGACTGAATATCCCTAAGAAAATTTTGTAAATAGACCCACGAATGAAATCACCAAGATAAATGGCAAGTTCTATACAACATATCTCTGCTGCCTGTGTGTATTTTAAATCATATTTGCCTAGGCTAGCTTTCAAGTGTATACAGAGAATTAGATGATGTATAGAAAGGGTCTGATAATGATCTGGGGTCACTGCCAGACAAAATAAAAGCTGAAATGTTATATTTATAGTGTTATTAGTGGTATCACATTCTTGGTTCTGCAAGGAGTTATTTAACCTTCCTGATGAAGGCTACCGAATTTGACAAAAACTCAAATAATCCTTGCAGATTTATCTTCTTTTCTTCCTCGTCGGCCAGTTACCATCACACATTATTCTGCAACCACAATGATAGCAATAGTCGAGAGGTCACCAGAAATACTTAGGTGATCAGCTCACAGCAGGCATGATCCAAGTAAGAATATGTCCTGAAACTAAATTGCTGTTTTTATTAGGGGGAGGTAACAAGAAATGATCACCAGAAGATGGGATAATTACTGAGAAGCTACATCTAAACCACAAACCCCTTCCCCCCGCCCCCCCCCCCCCCCACCCCCCCAAAAAAAGCACGAAGCCCCAAGCTGTGAGCTGACAAGTTTCAGTAAGAGACGACTGAGACTTGCAACAATGACCTTTTGAATAGGGGGTCAACTCCCCACAGAGTGTGGGTGCATGTATGCACACATACGTGTGTGTGTGATCTTCTCCTTTTTAAATAATATGCAGGGTAAATGCATTCCAAGGAGTTTTCAACAACCATTTGTTCTCCATCTACAGCATTTTTCCAATTGATATGGTGCATTTCTTAATTCGGGCCATTTCCCCCCAAATGAACAAAGAATATAATTCAATATTATATTTAACATATAATTTAATATATTACATCATATATTATATTACACCATCCAATGATTGTCTTGACTTACAGAGCTTCTAATAGACAAATGTATTTTTGTGCTTAATGCCAGTAACACTTAGTAGGTTCTAAGTGCACTCACCTTGGATGCTGCTCCTCCATTGATGATGGACTTCACAAATATGCCGAGATCAGCATGGTTCTCCTTTGACCTATTACCTTTGACGCTGACACCAAGGCCTGCAGATCCAGTGTCATTCAGGGGAATTTCAAACGTGAGGAACTCCCTGGTACCATCTGGCGTCAGAACCAAGTCGTCATCCTCTGCTTTCTAATAGAGAAGTTGTTAAAATGTTATTAATTCATAAAGAAGAGTATAGGTCATCACTGTTTATCTGTTTTGCATCAAGCTACACTGGTGGCATTTGAAATACGTCTTCAGAATTGTGTCATTCCTATATTTGAGAACTTTGAAAGGCTGCATAAGATAAGAATAGCTGCTGGCAACTCATCATGGACTGCACTTGCGATGCCTCAGTGGGATGTGGTTGTGGAACCATATAGTTCAGGAAGGTTTCAAACTTAATCTGTGTTAAATCAACAGGTGTTAAATCAACTCCCAGCTGGGGTGGTATTGGGAACTCTAATTGTTCTCAACTTCCCTCAGCTTGGGGTGAGGGATATATCTAGATACCAAAATATTGCATCTAGATATAATACAGTAAAACATGCATAAGTCTGATCTATCTAAATCATATAATTGCTTAAGTCGTACAACTGCACAAGTCCAGTTAGATTTCCTTTAACGTATGGAAGTTTTACATAACTCATATTTTGCATAAGTCATATTAAATGCATCTATGTATTAAACCTAACTGATATGACCTATGTGAGGTTTACTGTTTAGCAAATTAGAAACCCAAACCTTATAACCTAACGACCAATCAGTATCTTGTGAAGTCTACATTGCCTCCTTTGAAATTAGCTTTATATGTAAAAAAAAGTCACAACTAGAATGCTTAAGCAAATTTAAAAATGTTAGGCAAAAAGAAGTAGCAGAAAATGCAGCTGTTGATGCTATTTCACATTCCAGCGTTTATAAATCTGGTAAGCGCAATGCATGGTGAAGAGTTCTTAAAAAAAAGTCCTATTTGCGTATTGGTTCATTGTCCTCTGATGTTTGGAATGCAAGTTGTCCAATACAAAATAGCACTTGTACAGCGGTTTTCACGTCGGAAGGACGTCCCAAGGTATACAGGTTTAATAATGAACCAAGTGTAAAAACACAGCTCATCAAAAAAATTGGGAATCCCAGTGTGTTGAGGAAAGAGTCACAGGTTACAGCTGCCAGGAAAGCTCGATTAACTGGAAAGGAGCTTCATTAGTGTTCTGTGCACAGGTCTGCAAATTCAGCCCCTGCTAAAATGTACTTATTTTCTCAAAGGCCTTTACTCATTAACCCAGTTTTGACATGAACTATCAAAATGTCAGTTCCCACGTCAGGAAACTAATGTATTCTATCTTTTGAACAAATAGGTATCACATAGTCTAGGGTAACACTCCAATGCAGCACTACACCTAGTGCTGCATTGGAGTGTTACTCTCGACTATTGTCGGAGGTCCCATCTGCCTGTTAGAGATCTCAAGGCAACTATTTGAAACGAGAAGTATGACAACCCACAGATGTGAAAGTTGTTGCACCAAATACAAGGGTTATTATGTCATGCATCATATCCATTGACATGTCACTTATCTACTGATTCAAGATGTGCACTAATCTTCAAAGCTTCCTTCGGAATCTGGGCACACCAGATATATATATAGAAACAGGAGTAGCCCATTCAGCCCCTCGAGCCTGTTCCACCATTCTATTAGATCATGACTAACCTGTACTTCAACTCCAAAAAAAAATGATGTTCCCCCACTCATCTTCCTTCATTGGGTGGAGGATTAACACAAGATATGATATAAATAAAGAATAAAATCCTTATTGAAAGCACTTTCATTTTCAGGCTAAAGGTACGACGAGATAGGACTTGGTATAAAAAAGATAGGACTTGGTATAAAAAGGTATAAAAAAGACAAGATGCAACTGGAGACCCCTTACATTAACCTTAAAGGAGCACCACACTGAATCTGCTCTAAAGCAATCAATTCCTAAAGTAGAGTTCCTGCAGGTTAGCGTCTAGGCTGAGTCACATTAGATTTAGCTGTTTCACTCCTCACTGACCATTTAACATACTGCCAGAATTATATCGGAGACTTGCTTCAAGGAGTTCAATCTCGTGCAGTCTGATGGGTAAGAGATGCAACATTGTCAAAGCAAGCCCCGAGGAACCCCAGCCCAATACATTTTTATTTAGCATGGATTATTATACTGGTGCAACAGGAGAAGCCAATAGCTCATTGCAATGTTTAATTATGGATGTACATAACTTTGGTCAGTTACGCTATCCCCAGTTCTGGCTGAACAGTTAATTTCAATTAACTAGTGTTCCCTTTTATGCCACTCATTCTTCTGCAGCAAATTCCTGCTTTAGTGGAGGTGGGAAGGGAAAAATAAAATAGCAATTTTTACATTTGTTATAGACTCTGTCACGTCAGGAGGGTATCGTCAGGTGTTTCACAAGATATACTGCAAATAAGTACGTGCTTTGTTGGGAATCATGGCAGCCAATTTGCACACAGCAATGTCCTACAAACAGCCTAAAATTCAGTGACTGAATTTTATTTGGGGGATTGTTGACCAAAACAACAGGAGAAACTTCCTTCTGTTTTTGAATAGTGCCACGGCATCCTTAACATCCATCTGAACAGGTAGAAGGGGCCTCGGTTTAATGTCTCATCCAAAGGGGGGGACTCCCAATAATGCAGCACACTCCCAGCACTGCATTGGAATGTCAGCCTAGACAATGCGAGCTCCAAGTCCTGATGGATTGGATCAACACATAAGGATTTATTATTGAATGGACAATCTGGTTGCAGAGTCGTTGCTTCAGATACTTGTGACCTGTGAGCTCTTCCAGCCACCAGCAACTTTCTCTCTGGCTGTCTTTGGAAACTTCTGCCAATTTCATAGGATTAATTGTGTGATTCAAAAGAAAGCAATACCATGTCAGATACAGCAAAAGCCTTTCTCTGCAGTTGACAGATTTTGAATCCAAGACTTGGAATAAATCCAATAGCCAAACAGATCAGGTCAGCACTTGAAACTTGTTCAAACAAAATAAATCCCCCCCCCCCCCAAGGCTGAAAATAGACATAGGATTGTAAGAGAAAATTTTCTCTCTCTCCCGGGAGAAGTTTGAATGCAATTGGAATGGGAATAAAAGAAATACATGGTCATTGGGGATGGGGAGGAGGAGAGTCTTAAATAGTGCAAGGGAAGAGGGAGTTACTTAACTCCAGCTGGAAAAGCCTTAAAGTGAGAAACATCCTGTGCCATTTCCCGCCCTGGGAAACAAAGCGCTTTTGTGATTCATAAGTTCAAAACAATTCAATTTGCTAAGTGTTGTTGGTTGATGCCATCTTATGTGTATGCTTCTCTCCAGCTATGTCTATATACTATACACAGAGACAATCACAAGGAGGGTAACACTGTATGAGCCAGGGGTTCACTGGTGGAACAAATCCTATAATTCACCTCCACGGAATGCTCACAATAACAAATTTGACTTTAATGGCACTTTTGAGGATCTGATGGCAATTCATAGAATCATAGAATTATAGTCACAACGTTAATAGATAGTCAGCCAGCTTAGTTGGTAGCCTCTTGAGTCAGAAGATTGTGGGTTATCATTCCACATCAAAACTTAGGACTCTTAAATCCGCGGCTGACACTTCAATGCAGTGTTGCAGGAACATTGCATTGTCAGAGATACCACCTTTGGAGTGAGACATTAAACTAAGGCTCTGTTCAGGGGCCTGAGCAGGTGCTCATTGAGCATCCCATGGCTCTATTCGAAAAGAAAGGTTTCTCCTGGTATCCTGGCCAACAATTTCCCAGCCGCTTCATGGCTGTTTTTATGGGCCACAGGTTTGTGTAAATTCCCTGCTGTGTTCACCTAAACTACACAGTCTGTATACTTTACAGTAAAATCCTGTTAAACACTTTGATAACATGATATGACAAAAGGATTATTATTATTTATAATTATAGCATCACTTCAGAATGAAAGAATCTGCGCCAATGTCATGCTCCCACACAGATACCATTCTGCCAGACAATACTATCTGAGCCAGGCTTTCCCTGGCTGGAAATGTTCATTTCAATTTTTCCCCTCTTATAATGGAGCATTGTACTTTCAGACTGTTCCATCCACCAATCCAGCCAACTACTGAGAAACCTCACTCAGAGTGCAGTCAAACTCTAACACAGCAGTCACAGCTGGAATTTTCAAGCCAAGACTCCAATACTCCACAAAACAGTAAATCGGCTCATTTCCTCAACTGCAAATCAAGCCAGGAATGACTCTTGAATTGCTGCATCATTAACTGCAGGAAGACCCCCCAGGTGGATCAAAGTTCTGGGACTTGTAAACACATTTTGTTTCTTGTTTAGTGAACATAGTTCAAATGTATTTCAACAACAACAACAAATTGCATTTATATAGCACCTTTCAAGTCAGGAGGATGTCCCAAGGTTTCGAGATCCCCCCACTTTTGAACAATGATTAGAACTAACAAATCATAGAATTTGATATAGCACTTTCACATCATAGGCTATCTCAACAACAACAAATTGTATAGAATTCTAGAGAGTGAGAACAGATAGGCGCTTCACAGGTTCTACTAACGTGTAAAGTGTAGTGACTGTTATTTATAGGTGAACACAGATAAAATTCACATTTAGGTATTAATCACAACAGTCTAATCTGTGTTACATCATTACTACCAATTCAATCCGACATCAATTTAGTTCAGTTGGTAGCATTCTTGAGAGTAAGTATGGGAGAGTGATTGGCGAGGGTTCTCTCAGTTGAGACAAACCAAGGGCCTGTTCTAGTGGATGCTAAATATCTGGTGATGCTATTTCAAAGTTATTTTGCCTGTATGCAAATTTTAAAAAACACATTAGATCTAGCCACCCATCCTATTGTGGGCAGAATGAATTGCTGCATTTGTCTATAAAACAGCAATAAAACTCCACTCCACTTCAAAATAACTCATTACGTGATAAGCTGCTATTAACAAACACAGGTACAGGTATTAATTAATCAATATTTATTAATTGACATTTTTCTGCAGTGCCCTGAACAAGAAAGGATTGAATATCCATTGCCAACTGCAAAACTTAAAAACTACATCGAGAAATTCTACATGATTATTGGA